TCCAAGCTTCCTGACAGGAGTAGAGCTGGCTCCACTTTTGGACATGTTACGCCTGCATGTAAGTACTAATAAGAAATTGTCCTCAGTCAATATTACAATTAATGCTTCCACTTTCTAAAATCTCTATCTTCTTCTAACTTCTTCCTAACAAGCAATAATTTATCTTGATGTAATGTCCATGTTTGTTTTTTATGTTTGTACTGCTGAGCTGATCTCGTTATACTCTTGCAATGACAATAAAGGGAATAAATCTATCCATGTATTTAAACTGCTTTTCTTTCCTCAGCTGGCACTCGATGGCGCCGTGTGCCCGTGGAATATGCCTCCACCTCGGAGGACGAGTACGGCTCGAACCGCCACATTTCAAAACAGGGCCAGACACAGCCGTTTCTGTCGACTCGAGTGGCCCAGCTAGGAGGTTCGGCTCCAGCTACCCCCAATCCTGCCGGCCTGACTGCCATGAAGCAGCACTCCAGAGAGCAGGACGAGTATATGAGAGACTGGACAGCACACAGTGAGGAAATAGCCAGGTACGCAAGTGAGAGGAACTCAAATGTAGCTGGAGAGCAGCGATGAGTCACAATAGCTGTACTCAAATATACTGCTTCTGCTATTTTTACAATTTTGGAGTTGTTTTGGAGTGCTATCAATTATTAAGCTCTGAGAAACTTTGAGGAGCTGTTACAGAAAGACAGGAAGAAATATATCTTGCACATGTATCATTAATGATTTGTAATTTTTCAGGATTAGCCAGGACCTTGCCAAAGACCTTGCCATGCTCGCCAGAGAAATCCACGATGTGGCAGGAGAGATCGACTCAGTCAGCCCTGCAGCCACTGATCCAGGAGCTTTGGTAAAGTTTACACATTCTACAAAACCAAAGATCAGCAGCATTCTCTCTACCTGCTGCACTAGATCATTATATAATGTATTAGTTCTTCTTAACTCCATGTGACCCAGATTAAATGTAATGATACAGACATTCCTCATGTCAAAATAATATTCTTTGATGTGTCTTCATTCTGTTTTAGTTGGAGGAGGGTGTTTGTGATGACAGCTTGAACCTAGGTGGTCCCTCCGCAGATCCTGGACCCACCGGGCGCTCTGTGGAGCTGCGGCCCAGAGGTTCTCGTGGACAAAGCTCCCGATCCATCCGCAGACAGACGTGGAACAGAGATGATGTGAGTCTGTGCTTCAGTATTCAGCACTGCTTTATCCTTAAGATAAAATGTATTTTCTTATTTTGTTTTATAATCTTTTTTTTATTGCTTTCATTAAGTACAAGGCCTTTATTTTATGTGTGAAGTGTTCCATATAAATATTTGCAAAACATTTAAGGCAGTTCTGCAATTAATTTACCTCTATTCCTTCATCAGTTATTTATGAAAGTAACCAATTTTTTACGGTTAGAAGATGTCAATTGAGGTCTTATTATTATTATTGTGAAATTAAATTATTAATATGTCAGTCTGTACCACAGACTGCCACTAGAGGGAGCTTCCTACATGCCAACTTCCCTATCTCATCAGCTTCTGATTGGAAAAAAATCCAAACCTGAGTTGATATTATATTATGGTTATAATTTGGCTTATTCAGCTTCTGTAGTTTCTTACTAATATTACACCATCTACGTTACTCAGTTACTACACACTGTTAAATAAGAGTTTCTTTAAATCATCCATCAGGCGGTGCTAGACGGTTTATTCCTCGCGTCTGTGACTCAACTGTCAACCAGGATACGTCAGTCTGTTGACAAAACAGGCTGCAAAATCAGGTGAGCGTCCACCTGACAGGACAATGCATTATTATATTGTAATCCATTGTGGATTTAATATATACCACACTCAGAAAACAGCTAATGCAAAGTAGAGTTGCCAAACAAGAACATACTGTATATTTTTTGAAGTTTCCTGTCTGTTTTATGTTGGAACTGGGTTAACAAGCAGAGTCTGAGTGGCACATCATCAAGGTGTACTCTGACAACCAGACACTTCTCTTATTATAACTCACAGGATGACAACTGAAAGGCCTTTATTCATTCTACAATCTGCAGACACTGCCTGAATTAAATCACTTTAACAGTCCACTAAAAACAGCAGTCAACAATCAAGAGCTATATTAAACATTTCTTTCACATCTTTTACTTTCATCTATTTTTGTGCCTGCCTGGCCTCCAGGATCCTCTTCAAGGATAGAGAGCGGAAATGGGAAGAGATTGAGAGCAAGCTGCAGGCGGAGCACGACTCCTTACTACAGAAGAGCTCCAACAAGGTGACAGCAAGTGAACTTCTTACACTGTCTCTTTTATCTAGTAACGGACTGTGAAGTAGACAGCACAGCAATATTTGTATCCACACTAGCAGCATAGGTTTATGGGTAGACTGGGGTTTGTTCAGTTCAGGATGAGTTCTTATGTGGCCCCCTGGGTTTTTCTTGAGTGTCACCAAGATGTTGACATTTGCGGTTTTAAATGAAACTGCAGTGGCTCTATGCAGTGTCTGTACCTAACCTGTTTTTTTGAGATGGGCTGCAGTAATTGAGCCACAGCAAGTAAAGACCAGCCGCAGGACTCGGTCTGCAGAACCCTGGAGCTGCACCATCCCAGCTGCTGCACAAAGAGCTGTTCACCTGTTTGGTTCAGTGTAACTCGACTCAGTACGCAGAACCTCGAACTGGAGAATGAGTTGTCGTTGCTGTGAACGTGCTGTTGTTGTAATCAACAATGTCACTCACACTGATGAGTCCCAGCTGCCTCTGCTGCAGGGTACTGGTCTCCTGTTTATTCAAACTGGCACCAAATTGGCTTTGCGCGTTCTTGGGCCCTCAACGATACAACGGCCAAGTGTGAAGGCAATCAGGTCAGCAGTTTGCAAGATTTCTGGAATTAGTAGATATATGTCTCAAAACCTGTGGGATATAATCACTTAAATGATATTATAATATTTTCTCTGGCACCACCAGGTCTAAATCTCACTGCAGCACTTTTGGTCCACTCCTCACTAAACTAATCACATTCCCATCAGCCTTGATTGTACTTCATGTTTAGTCCTGATTAGTTTGCTAACACGCCAAACAAGGTTTTTGTTTTACTTGTTTCAAAATATGTGTGGTGAAGATTTCCCTGCAGGCTCAAAATCTGCTTTGTTTCTCTGTAATAACAAGATAGATCAATATCCTTGCACTTTCCATCCAAACAATCTCCTGTCCTGAGGTGTCTGTGCAAAAGCCAAAAAACTAATAACAATGCTGTTGTAAAGTGTGTGTGTGTGTGTGTGTGTGTGTGTGTGTGTGTGTGTGTGTGTGTGTGTGGGTGTGTGTGTGTGTGTGTGTGTGTGAATACAAAAAAACAAAGCATGGACAGATTGTGTGAATAGTACTTAGGAGTGTCTCTCGGTCTTGGTCATTTTGGTTTATCCACCTGCAAATTGCGTACTGGTTTGGAGAAATATAATATAGATGTCATTATATTAGTTTGTCAGCATATGGACTTTGGGACTGTTCAGACGGGAAGTACAAGGATTTTCAGCCATCTCGTCAGAAAAGCAGCAGGTTTTTTTCCCTCAAATGAAAGCAATATGCTTCCGTAGATTTGACTATGAAGTTTTTGGAGGTATAAGGAAAGCAAAAGATATCGACTGCTCTTTGACTGCACTATTTTGAAACTCAATCCAGTGCATTTTTATTCACTCATCAGATACTGGTACAGGGAAGTCTATCTATCTAATCTAAACAGCCTAACCATTGCTTTTTTCTATTATGTTGGCAGAAATAAATATATTGCAGATTTGATCCATGCCAGTAATCCATTAGCTTTTCAAAGGAATTGAATCATACCATACAGTATCGAATCCTTCACAAACCAGACAATATGTGATTACTTACTGGAGCAATCACAGAGAGTGCTAACAGTGTCACAGCCGTCTGAGGGAATCAAACCCAAGATACTTTTTTGGAGAGCAGAGAGAGAAACAAAAAGACTTATGAGCTGTTGTTTATGGTGTAAAAAGTTAGAGTCCACAAAATGTCTGCCTCGCCACAGAGCAGGGTTATAAATCGTGCCTTTAACCCAGCTTGGCCTCGTTTGAACCCCTGAAGAGATATGTCTATCCACGGCACAAGTCAGAGGGCTCATAAAGCATCGCTGAGGGCACGCGGCACGGCTCCAAACTTATTCCTGCAGCAACTAGGAGCTGAATCCAGAGGATTTATTTACTTAATCACATCCTAGACCGACCTTAATTTTCATTTATGTTCTTTTAACAGGAGATTACAAACATTCTTCAAGACCTGAAGGGAGTGGAACGACAGCTGCTAGGTATCTGATGATTTTCTTTAGTGTTCAGAGCTTCCCAACATAGAAAAGTTTAAAGTGATGTTTAAACTATTGTAAATTCTTTTTTTTCTTCTTTTTTCAAACAGCCATCGACATGATGGTGGATCCGGATGGCACCCTGGACGCCCTGACCTCTCTGGGTCTCACCAGTCCTCTGGCTGACCAGAAGCTCAGCCCTGGGACTCTGCAGGAGGCATTGCCGTCGCACCCTGGAGCTGAAGCTTTGTCCTGCTCGCACTTATCCTCCATGCCTGAAGGAGTGACCTCTGAAGCCTGTGGATCCTCAGACCCCGCTGAGGTGATAGGGCGAGGCCCAGGGCCCCAGCAGAGCCCCAGATCCTACAACTGACTCACTATGGAAATAATTCAGAGAAAGCATCCTTGATTTTAGACAGTACACTGAAGTCCTTGGAGCAGAGCTTGGTGTGAGGTTATCGTCTCGGTTACAGATGCAGGCAGTATGGTGATGCTTATCCTGTGGTAAAGATTGACCGTCATCTGGCTGCCAAACTTAATCATGTTACTGTTAAAGTCCTAAAAAGCAGCTCTTAGGATGATAGATACACAGTATGAAAACACGTCAGTATTAATGAGGGCTTATGACTTAGCTATGATATAACATACATGATTAACCCATCTGTGTTGTTGTGTTGCAGCTCATCATTATTATCCTTGAACTCATTTGAAAAAAGAGCAGACGTAGAAAACGGTAAAAGATGACAGGACGTGATGTTAAAATTTGACTTAGAAAATTCCTGCTTAGATCCATTTTCTGCATTTTGTTCATAAATCACAACATCTCTGACTTTTGCCAAAGGTGAAATGCAGTCATGGCATTTAATTACCTTCAAATCTTTGCGTATGATTCATATCAAAGTCGGAGTCTGTCAGTCAGCAGTACTAAGGCCAATGCATGGAAAGTTGCAATGGGTTCAGCAGAGATGTGTGTGTGAAAACTGTTTTATCCTGCCATAGAATTATTTATTTAAAATATATATTGTTGGCCTGTTAGAAATGCAACCCAGAAGCTGATCCCAGTAATGATTTTCCATCTAAAAAAGCTGTAGTGCTTATTTGCTGGGAAAGAACTGGGTGTGTACAGTATGAACCTGTGTAAATGTTTCTTATGGTTAAATTAAAAACTCCCATCCATGCCTTTTTTAATTTTGGTGATGTCATTTAAATCAAGTGAAGACAAAGATAAACCCTGTGTGTTAACAGACACAAAATCAAATGTAGCTCCCAGAAAAACATGGTTTTCCTCTTCCAAATGTATTTTGTCACAAGTGCCCTGGAACAAACAATCATAATAGAGGAAGAGAAGAGACGCTACAGGAGATGTATATAAAGAGAGAGAGACTGGAAAATGTTTCTTTGCACATTTCAAAGCTAATATAAAGTACATTCATCTCCTCTCTGAGGGAAAAGGACATGACGTGCCCCCATGATGCTCCTTTATCATGTCAGTGTCCTCGACCAAAAACAAAGCAGGGTTTAAAACCAGCCGTCTGTCCAAGTTTCTGTCTGATCACAAACAAACTGTGGTGTTTAAACCAGCATAGACAGGAGCTGTACCTCCAACTCCTGCAGCTGCATTTTAACATGAACCGATGCAATGGAAGGACGGACGACTGTGACGGCTAGGTTTTTCCAATGTCTTGCCTCATACCGATGTTTACACATGAATGTAACCTGATCAGAACTGTTGAAAACATTTTAGCCAAAACGACTTTAATAATAAAGATTAATGACTGCATTTTCTGCTCTGCACCTGTTGTACTTTGTCTTAAATTCTGTTTGAGCATTTTGGAGAATATTTGTTTGGATGTTTTGTATGAATTTGATTTCCTTTTTTCTTTATAGGTTATATGTTGACCTTGCAATACCTGTGTCTCATTTCCAATAAAATGCATGATAATCTTAAACTATTTGTTCTTTGCCTTTTATATATAATAGAATGTTCTGTTCTTTTTGTTTGTGTAAAAGCTCTGGAGCAACTTCAGAATGATTCCTCATTATTAGTGAGTCCTCCTCAAACAGTTCTAAAGTATACAAACACATTGTATTGTTTGTGTGCTGAACGTTGTGTGCTGATCTTTTTCCAACAGTTTATGGTGCAGACTGAAGTTAGAAATCTTTACGTTCATCATACCAGGTTTATGTTTAGTCACTATTCTCCATCACTATTCACATGTGTGGTCTGTTAAGAAATCTACACAATCTCCAGACTCAAGTTCACAACATTTCAAATTAAAAGCTTAGTAATTCTGCATTGCAGCAACACAACTATTGTGATTGTATTTACAAAGAGGAGGTGATTCTATATTGTTGCCATGACAGAGTTTAGCATCACTGACAACTGTGAATGTCTGTCTCAGTCCTATTTGGTGAAATATAAATGATTCAATAATCAAAATGATCTGGTTGCTGACCACAGGTGTGGTTTATCTGAGGACTTAGAAGAAGTTTTAATAGTGTCCGCTAACTGAGGTTCACAGCACCCCTCCCCCAACACCAGACCAGATCACAAGTTAAAATTGCACAAAACTCTGCACGTCAATTAGATAGTAGGAGTTAGTATCAATTGTATTTTTCCTGCACAATGACAGTTGTTGTTGCCAGCTACACTGCAGCATCAAGATTGTACATGCAAAACACGTCAATTTATTAAATATGAAGCATTATTAAAAATGCCCTGTGGGGTTTTCTTGTTCCTGTTTACATTTAATTACTCACAAAAATGCATTGTGTGTTACTTTGATGTCTAACAAATTAATGTGTTGCTTTACTCAACAGTCATTTGCAAAATTTTTGTATCCATTTGACAGCTACATTGTTGACTTTCATGTTAACGTGATACACATTTTTCACAGCAGCATGAAATAGCACGTAAACAGAGGTGACATTAATCAAGGTTCTGTTCTATTTAGTCACTGAACCAAATAATGTGATTATGTCAAAATGGCTACTGTGAAAAATATCCTTTTGACATGTCCCCACCACAGGTTGATCAGTGGATAGTGTGAGATCATTTCCTGGCATTTGTATTCCATTAAAAGTGTGCGCAAGCGTAGTAAGCGTATGTGTTTTGTCTTCTTGTTTTTGCCTGACAGCAAACAAAACGTGGACCCACACATGAAAGCATCGTTAATAGAGACCAAAAAACTCAAACTTCTAGTGCTCCCCTAGAAGAATATTAAACCCACTGTAGCTATACCTGCTCGATCAGCACCAAACTTAAAAAATATACAAAAAAATGTTTGTTGGTGAATATAGTTGATCATTCAGAAACTCAAGCCAAATGTTGCTGAAGGGGAGTGAATACTGAACTTAAATCAGCAAGGTGAACAGATACATAGTGTTTTGGTTGGACCCCAAAGCAGAGACTGAAACAGGTGAGTAGAAACTAAAAAGAGCTCAACAAAAAGCAAAAGGAGCAGGCAGTGGGGGCAGAGAACAGGCTTGAGGGCTGAGCACACACAAAAACTGCACTAAAGACACCAATGCTGGCAAGCAGCAAGGCACACAGGATTACCTGAGTACACGGAGGAAACACAGGTACAAAAAACACAAGCTAAATGACAAACACTGAAAAGTTGGCAGCTGAACAATGCTAGATAGTAAGGCACTTGAAAAACACAGACAGTTCACTGAGAGGAAGAACACAGAGCAATTACCAAACAAGTCTGAATTATCAGACAAGGCAGCAGAGTGAAGACCAGGCTTTTATAGTCAGGTTGATGAGCTGAATGGAAACAGGCGGGCCTTGTCTGCTGCAGGAGAAGCCAGCCACGCCCCCTGCCACACACATGCCCTGCAGGAGAATGAACGGAAAGGGGAGGGGGGGAGAGAGAGAACACAAAAACCAAACCAAACCAAACCAACACAGAATCATCACACATGGCCCCATATTAATGGTAATGTTACTGCTTTTATAAATTGGAATATGTTAACTTCACTCTTTCAGGTTGAGTAGATGAATGTTATGTTTAGAGTCCCACTGTTCCCCTGAAGAACAACAACAGACTGAAACAAATCTTTGTTGCCATTGGTGGATATAACAAAGTACATTTACTTTGTTCCTGTACTTAAGTTCATTTTCCCTGTATCTGTACTTCTCTTAGGTATATATTTCACTTTCAATCCATTACAAAAATCAGCAAACAGCTGTACTTGCTAATCCACAATATATTTTTGTTTTATGTTTTTAAAAGTAATTAATAAGGAGAGGGGAGCTGATCCACCGATTCCAATCAGAGTGGGCAGGTAACATTAGACCCGGCCTCCTCCTGAAATAGTTTTGGAAGAAGCTTACACTCATAATGATGAGGTAGACTGTTGCATTAGGGAATATGTTACACTCAACAAGTACTTTTAAACTGAATAGTTTAAGTATATTTAAAATCAAGTACTTACTTTTACTCAAATAGATAAGTTAACATGGTACTTTTACTTATACTTAGGAAGAAATTTTGTCTATGTATAAAAAGTTAAAAGCTCATTACTCCATTGACATCTCCACTTCTTCATCTTCATCACCTATGACTCTCCACCAGCCGAGCTCCACCCCCCCAGTCCCCCCTCCCTGTCTGGCCTCTCCCTCAGTCTTTGCAAGTACACTCGACAAATTAGGTTTTAGAGGCCACAATGCCGGAGCCGCTGCACTACTAATTGTAGGTCTCCCGATATTCTGCTTCACTTCCTTAATCCTTAATGCTGTGTCAGGATTTTTCCTCCCTTGTGAGCAACATTTAGCGCAGAGCCCTGCTGGCATACATCAGCACTGATGCAGGTGTTCACCTTAGCGGGAACACTTTATCTGAATTGTTACCGCTTATTTTCATTAGGTCCAGGTTCCCTGTTGGCCTTGTTACTTCACTCACACTGCTTGAATTTATTGCATATGAATAAAATATCCATATCAGTGCAGCATTCTTACCTCTGAGATGTGAGTCTGGATGTCCTTAAAATAAAAATTTTGTGTATTCACATAGGAAGACCTAATAAAAATTCATGGCCATAGAATATTTGCCAGGTGATGCACAGCAGGAACCTTATGTGCTGTTGTGTGTAATTTGAGGTGCCATTTTTTTTATTTATGACCTGTGCGGTCTCAGAGTGAACAAGATGGATGATGTAATCTGTGTAAGTGGGGGCTACAGAGGGGTGTTTACATATTCTGCACCTCCCTGACTGTAGACTTTATGTATTTCTCCAGCTCTGTGGAGATTGGTCTGACTATGTCCTCTTTGATGGACCATTATTGCTTATGGGGATTAGGAAGAACAGGAAAAGGAAAAAAAAAATCCTCTGTGTATTTGCATCCACTGTAGGATCGTACACATTCAGAGGTTTTATGTAAGTATGGTACAGCCAACACACAATAACAAAATTACATTATAATTTTAACACAATAGTTCAGCATTTTGGATAGTATGCCTATTTGCTTTCAAGCTGAGAGAGACAATATGATTGTTGCAACTCTCATGTCTGTATAATAGAAAATTGTATCTCCACTTCCTCTCACTATCCAGAATGATATCCCAAATACAAACGCTGCCATGTTGTGGCAAAGACGTCATTTGGAGTCCACGCAGTACTTATTGTGACGTCAAGCCACGCTATCGAGGTCCTGCCCATACACTTGACCAAACGTGAATCATTCTTAGCTGTCAATCATGACATTTCAACCTGATTTTAGTATCGAATATAGATGGTCTGTCATATATTGGATAAACTCACATATCTATCATCTACGTAGTGTATATGATATCAATTTGGTGATATTTTCCCAAAATGTTAAATTGTTAAATCTATTATATTCTCATTTTAAAATGCTCATTTGACTGAATTTGTGAATCTACCAGCTAATGAAAACCACTTACATTAGCTGATATATTGCTGACACAGTGGCCGCAGGGGATCTGTGTTTTGAATTAGATCAAAGTCCTTGTTTTTATTACACAGCACCTTTATTATGTATCCCCAATAAAAAATGCACAGACCATTACAATCTCC